AGTCATTGGTCATTGATGACTGAACTCAATCTATAGTCCCTTTTCTCCCCTCTGAAGGTTGGGAGGTGGTGGGGCTAAAATTTCAGTCCTCAAATCACTTGGTAGCTTCCCCTGGCAACCAGCACTCATCCTTAGGGGCTTTCCAGAAGTCACCTCATTGTCATAAATTTAGGTGTGGTTATAAAGGGCTCATTATGAGTTACAAGATACTCCTTTCACTTTTGTGGCTCCAGAATTATTCAGCAATCTGTGACAAAAGACCAAATATTATAATTGAAGATGCTTCTATTTCACTTATGTTCAGTAAATCCTAAGGATTTGGGGACAGTATGAGATAGGAACAGTAGATGAAGACCAAATATATATTTCTTATTATAAAGCATAATATCACACTTGCATTTTATACATAAGGAAACAAAGGTACAGAGAAGTTAAATTCTTCAAAGCCACACAGCTAGGAATTTTTGCAGTTTCACTCCAGAGCTCAGCCCTTTTCTTCTAAACCAGTATGTTTTCCATGCATATGACTTTAGCTTTTCACTCCTTACTACATTGTGTATTCTTTTTTATACTTGTATTGATGGGAAGTTCTACATCCTGTGATACAGTATAACGAAGTACAATAGTATATTTCAAATAAAGATTTTTATTAGCAACGTACTTTCAATTAAATTTATTGGTGTGACATTGGTTAATAAGATTATTTAGGTTTCAAGTGTATAGTTTTGTGATACATAATTTGTGTATTGCATAGTGTGTACATCACCCAAAGTCACATGATCTTGTATCACTATATATTTGACCCCCTTTACCCTTTACAACTCCCCACTCCCTTCCCTCTGGTAACCACCATACTGCTGTTGTCTATGAGTTTTTGTTTGTTTTTCTTACTTGTTCATTTGTTGCTTTCAGTTTTATGTCCCACATATGAATGAATGAAATATGATTCTCTCCCTGACTTATGTTGCTTAGCATGATAATCTCAAAGTGTATCCATGTTGTTGCAAATGGCAGTATTTCATCTTTTCTCATGGCTGAGTAGTATTCCATTGTACAAATGTACCACATCTGCTTTATCCAGTCATTTATCAGAGGACACTGTGGTTGTCTCCATGTCTTGGCCACCATGGATAATGCTGCTATGAACATAGGTGTGCATATATCTTTGCAAATAAATGTTTTCAAATTTTTCATGTAAGTACCCAAAGAGTGATTGCTGGGTCATATACTAACTTTATTCTTAAGTTTTTGAGGAACTTCTATTTAGTTTTTCATAATGGCTGTACCCGTTTATATTCCCACCATCAGTGATAAGGGTTTCTTTTTCTCTACAACCTCATCAATACCTGTTATTACTTGTCTTGTTGATAATAGTCATTCTGACAGGTATGAGGTGGTAGCTCATTGTAGTTTTGGTTTGCATTTCCCTAATAGGGAAGTTGAGCATCTTTCATGTATCTGTTGGTCATTGTATGAGGGAGGACCCCCAAACACCCGCACCTTATAAAAAATTGTGTATTTATTCTTACATGTTAAACTGCAGTCATCTTCAAAGTAGTCTCCATTTGATACAATATAACTATTTTTATTTTAATTTTTATTTATTTATTTATTTATCTTTAGAGAGAAAGGGAAGGAGAGAAACATCAATGTGTGGTTGCCTCTAGTGAGTCCCCTGCTGGGAACTGGCCTGCAACCCAGGCATATGCCCTGACTGGGAATCGAACCACGAGCGTGTGGTTCCCAGGCCCTCGCTCAGTCCTCTGATCTATACCAGCCAGGGCTCATTTGATACAATATAACTATTGAGACATATTTTCCATTGCTCCAAAAAGTTTTTGAATTCATTGGTTTTGATGCCTTTTAGTGCTTCTGTTGTTCTTATTTCACCTCTTCCACATCAGCAAAATGTTGCCCTTTGAGGATTTCTTTCATCCAGGGAAACAAAAGTTAGTTGGTTAGGGCCAGATTGGATGAATAGGGAGGGTGAGTACAGGGTCATGCCATTTCTGTTCAAAAACTGCTGAGTACTCAGTGAGGTGGGGGCAGGTGCACCCATAAACCACCCATCATGAAATGGGCAAAGGCATTGAAAGAGTCTTCAAAAAAAAATTCACTGAAGCCAAGCGGCAGCCTCTCACAGCGCCTGCTGGTTCTGTCATACAGACGGGTTCCCAGAACACTCAGCTAGTGAGGGAAACCTGTACTACACGGGACCTGCCCTCCAGAAGACAATTCTGTTTTGGGTGGGGTCGTCCCTCATATGTCTTTGTGGAAGAAGTATCTGTTCAGGTTCTCTGCCATTTTAAAATTGGATTGTTTATTTGGTGTCAAGTTGTATGAGTTTTTTGTGTGTATTTTAGATACTAACCTTTTCTCAAGGCTGCTGTTTGCAAATATCTTGTCCTAGTCAGTTGGTTGCTTTTTGCTTTGTTGGCTATTTGTTTTGCTGTATAGAAACATATAGTGCCATTCATATATTTTTGCCTTTACTTCCCTTGCCTTTTGGGTCAAACTGATAAAATCTTCTCCAAGACCAAGGTCTGTAAGTTTAGTACCAGTGTTTTCTTCCATGTAGTTTTAGGTCTTATATTTAGGTCTTTGATCTATTTTTAGTTACTTTTTGTATATGGGGACAAACTGTATTCTAGTTTCATTCTTTTGCATGTGGTTTTTTCTAACACCATTTATTGAAGAGGCTTTTTTTCCTCCATTTTATATTTTTGGATCCTTAAACTACAAAGCATTATTAAAAGAGATTGAAATATATACAATGAAATAGAAATTTTGTGTTCATGGATTGGGAAGGATCAACATAATTAAACTGTTCTTATTACCCAAAGCAATAAATAGATTTAATGCAGGACCCATCTAAATCCCAATGACAATTTTTAACATAAATTAATTCTCACCTGAGGATATGTGTACTGATTTTAGAGAGAGAGGAAGGGAGAGAGAGAGGGGGAAACATTGACTTGTTGTCTCCTGTACATGCCCCAACCCAGGATGGAACCCACAACCTTTTGGTGTATGGTATAACACTCCAACCAAATGAGCCACCTGGCCAGGGCCTAGTGACATTATTCACAAGAAACAATAAAAAACTAGATTTGTATAGAACCACAAAAGACCCTGAATAACCAAAGCAGTCCTTAGGAAAAAAAATAAACAAAGCCATAGGCATCACACTCCCTGACTTCGAATTATACTACAAAGTGACAATAATCAAAACATCGTGGTATTGGCTGAAAAACAGACACAGACCAATAGAACAGAATCAAGAGCCCAGAAGTAAATCCACTTGTATTTGAGTAAATAATTTTCAGCAGTGTTTTTAAGTAGAGATCTTTTTAGGGTCAACTAGTAATATTTCTAGTTAAAGTATTTCTTTGGAAGTAAAGCCTAATTATTAGTATTATCAGAATCTTAAAATATCATGCTATTTCACTGGAATTGATTGTAAAGCACACATAGCTATTTAAAGCTAATTGCAGTCATCTGTTTTCTCCGTTAAGTCCTAAGACCCATTTTTTTCTGACCTAAATAAAGTCATGTTGCTTTATGTTGTGGTTGGTTATGCAGAACTGTTGGGTCACTAAAAATTATTTTCAGGTGTTTGTTACCCCTGCAACATTTGTCTTATTTAAGTATTCTTTTTTGGAGGCATACCAGGAAGTATACCTTCAATGACCAATTAACATATTTGAAGGTTAGTGTATGTTAGACTTGAAAAAAATTTTCTAAGATTTAACAGAAGACTAAGCTTTCCTAATCTGGAATTTGAAAATGATTTATGGTATGAGTTAGAGCATAAGGAGGAGTAGGCCTTTGAAGCTTAAAGTTTAATCCTTTTTAGATCATCAAGAACTTGAGCATGTGCATCTCTCTTCTCATAAATGCACATTATAAACACTCACCTGTCATCATCCCTTGAAATGTGGTACAGTAGATAATTTTGATGTGCAAGAAATCACTTTGGGGTAAAAGTCATTCTTTTTTTTAATATTTTTTAAAGATTTTATTTTTAGAGGGGAAGGGAAGGAGAGAGGGAGAGAAACATCAATGTATAGTTGCCTCTCACATGTCCCCTGATGGGAACTGGCCTGCAACCCAGGCATGTGCCCTGACTGGGAATCGAACTGCCATCCTTTGATTCACAGGCCTGCGCTCAACCCAGGGAGCTATAGCAGCCAGGGCTGAAAGTCATTCTTTAAGATTACTAATGGGGTCTGCTAAAAGGAGGTGCCATGAAGAACTTGGCCCCATAGGGACTGTGAGTTATGCAAATACTGGGCTGCATTCTTTGACACCACCTATTAACTAACTTAATATTTGGAGTTCCTTTTTTTAAAAGGTAGTTTCTACTACTACCCAATAAAAAACATACTCTAATGTTTTCTTGTTTTGCATATGATTGGCAATATACCTGTTAACTGCTATAAGTAATAAAAATATATATGTGAAGTTGGCTATAAGAAATGCTGAAGTTTCACTTAATAAAATTTTGGTGTGCCTTATATACACACACACATACATATGTGTGTGTGTGTGTGTGTTTTGGTTTTGAGATTGGGATTTTCATTAGTTTATAACTTTATGTCAAATAACTGAGTCCTTTTACAATATATTTTTAAGAGAGCCTGTTAGCAATATTCATTAAAAATACTTGGCACAAAAAAAAGAAGAAAAACTTGAAAAAATAAACACCACTCACCCAACATCTACCAGTGTTGATGCTGACTCAACTGTGCCTACACAAGCAGGTTACAGAAATTGGGTTCTAGTTTTTAAATGACAGTAATTTATTATAACGTCTTTTGGTGTAGACAAAAGTGATTTTTGGCCACCCAGATAACTGTGCACTTAAATATTTCCTTTAGATAGTTTACATTAAAAAGTATCAAGAAAGTATTGTTTATGGAATTGATGAAAAAGGGAAAAATATGTTTATTTTTCAAAGAAATGCATTATTACAGTTGTTTTTCTGCCTTTCTCCTTAGGCTTCTCATTTCTTTTGGGGACTGTGGGCTTTGATTCAAGCCAAATATTCCACCATTGAGTTTGATTTCCTTGGGTAAGTTTAATTTTACTATATGCATTATACAGGGTCCAGCAACAGAAGTAAGGCCTGCTTGAGTGTGGTTGGTAGGATAATATGGGTATAATAATTTATTTTTAATGTGAACATTTCACCTAAAATGTCCTATAGTGTGCTTGAGCGTGATATTGTTACGTTACAGAATTACATACATGGTATGATTTTTGTAATAAAAAAGAGGGTGTTATTGGTGCTGGACCCTGTATTTGTCTCTATTTTCTTTGAAGTAACATTTAGAACTCATAGGGAACATTGTAGTTATTATTTTCAATCAAATGTTATAAAGGTTGCATACAGTTAATAATTGGTCAGAGGAAATCTGATATAATCTGTTAAATATGGTTAATAATAGAAAAGTGTCCAGTAGGTGGTGCAATAAACTAAAGATATGTTCTTTGAAATTTTTTTAAAACTTTAAAAACATTAGTTTAGAAGAGTGAGTGGAAATAAAGGGAGGATTAAGTTTCCAGCTTTGACTAATTCTGTCATTCTCTTTTCTCACTAGGTATGCAATTGTTCGTTTTAACCAATACTTTAAAATGAAGCCTGAGGTTACTGCATTAAAAATGCCTGAGTAAAGATGTAATAACTCTCAAGTAGCTGAACAATGCTTGTGAATTTTTTCTTAAGAAATTCCATAAAGCCAATTATTTGTTAAAATTCTGTAATTTAATTTGGATATCTTGCTTTACAAATTATGCGTCTGTCAACCAATCTGTTTTTTTAAATAGACTGGTGTCAAAAATAGACCTACTGCTTTCAGTATGTGGTAGATTGGAAATTTATTAAATCTACAAAAAGGTATAAAGATGTCAGTTTAATCTTTTTTTGATAATTTGTTATATGTGAATTATTTATTATAAGTGTAACATGATTCTTTGATTGCTTTCATATATTTCATCTGTTAAATGTAAGCAATGAAAATGTTCCAGAGTGAATTTTGACTTTAATTTTAGTTACATGTTCTAGATGTTCATTCTAACTTTTTTATCTTAATGCACTGTAAGTAAAATGGATCATTTAGTCTTGAAATGCCAGGCACTGGTATAGGTAACTTAGGGCGTTCATTGAAAAACATCAATTTGGGAGGATGAAATGCATTCACTGTCTATGGTAGTGGTACATCTTTTTGAATTGAATATTGGAAACTCTGTTTTGGGGGGATATACTTTAGAATTAGATTCTCATCTCCTTACATAGTCTGGCATATAAATATTAATATTTACTATGTAATCCTGGAGTAGATAAGGTGATTTTGTTACGAAAAATCTGGATTCATTAATGTTTTCATGTACTCAGTGTGGTCATTTAAGTTACTAGTTTTGTTTTTAAGATTTCAGTGTATCAAATTATTTCTAACCAAAAGTTTTATTTTACTTACTGAGATATTTTATGTATTTGCTATTAAATAATAGCTAGTAGAACAATTGATAATTTTTGAAACTTGTTTAATAATACTTGGGAACAAGAAAATGTCATTTAGATTGATTCTTTTTTATCCCTTTAGATTAATTTCTCACATTTTGGTTTCATGTTTTAGTTTGGCTCCATGTCTTTATAATGATAGCAAATAGTTGCTTGATACATGTAGGTTCAGAGAAATAAGTTGAGATGGTTAATAGAATTAAATAAGGAACATTTAAGGCATTGATATTGTACACTTAAAATCTGATATAACAAAATGTGAATTAAGCTGAAATACTTCTCCGTTAGTTTTGATTTCTCTTAATTTTGTTTGTATATTTTTTGTTTTGTTTTCGGGTGAGAGGATGGTGATTATTATATGGAAGGAACTTAGATCCTTGGGATAAGTAGGGGTCAAACTTTGAAGACTGCTGTGTGGAGTTGAGTCGCCATGGTTGTTTTCACTTAGAAAATTAGTCTGACAAGCTTTTCACTTTGGTCACATAAGTGCCCATGTACAAAGTTGGCTTAATGGATCTGCATATTCAGAATATGCCACTACAAATTTATCCTCTGAGAAATCTTCTGGGGAGTCTGATGTATTATTCCAAATGACTTATTTTCAAATAAGTGCTTTAAAATACTTGGATTATCTCAAGATGTTTAAAGGTAATAAAGTAGAAACACTTAAAGGCCATTTTAAATGGTAAATTCTAGTTACATAAATGGAATCTTAAAATCTGTCTGTATATATAACAATGTTAGACCAAGGTTTGTTTTCTACCTCCCCAATGTTACAAATGTTCACTTCTGTTTTTATAAACCACATTATTGTAGAATCAATAGAATTTTCCCTAATTGAATGAATGGAATCAATTCAATAACTGTTTATATAACGTTAGAATATACTTGAAAAATTGTTTTTGGTGGGATTTTTATCTGTGGTTGGAATATTTTCTTAGAACAATGAAAAATATGTAATACTCTTGATTTTTTTTTTTTTTTTTTTTTTTTTTGCTTTCCAACTTCTTAAAGTGCAACAGTATGTACTATGGGAGGAGAGAAGATCATTTTACTACCTTACTCTTCAAACTATTTTGAATAGAGATTCACTGAGCCATTGCTGGTAGACTGTGCATAGCTGCTAGCTGTGACACTACTATAATAAGCATTTCAGAAAGATTCATGTAGAAGTGAATGTAAAGGGGAATAAAGGCTCTCACTTTATCCCTAGGAGAGTATCCACTGGATCTTGGGGACATAATCAGATATTTAAGATAGTTCCCTGACTCTTTGGTTAGGTTTTGGATGTTGTGGTGCTCCCACTTCAGTACAGGTTTTGCGGGGGGGATCATGCTACAGGTTCTTAATAGGGTTCAAATTGCTTCTCTTTTTTGTTAACCATTTAGGACATTCTAAAGGAAAAACGTCCCTCTAAAATTATCCCGTGGCTTCTTGAGATATCTGTTGCCTTTTTATGTTAAGCTAAGGAACTTGAATGCCTTACCTAATAACTCAACTTGTAAGCTCATTGTGTAAATATGAAATGGTTGTTAGAGAAGTGGCATTCATGTGTATACTCATTGTTAGTCAATAGACCATAGTGGCCTGGATGCTTTAACAAGCAAAATTCCACGATTTTTTCCTCGTTGTTCCTTACATACTTGTTAGATCTTACTGACCAGTAACGTTGTTTTCCCTCTTCTGACTGCATACTACTACCATTTTCTGGAAGTCAAAGAGATGTGGCAGTAGATCATACTATTCATGTGATCATTTGAGATCGATATGAGCACAAAACTCATCAACTAGGTCTGCCTGGAATGTATATAAAACAGTGTAAATAAAAATTTGTAAATTAGTGTGAATTGTATCTTGCATATGAGATTGTGTATTGTTTTGCATTCTCTTCCCTTTTGTAGAAATTTTTCTGTAAGGAACTAATCTAGTTCTTTGGTTTTAGACTGGAAATAGCCAGCAGTTCTGGCTACACAGTGGGATAACAATAGGAACTGGAAATAGGGTTTATCAGTTTTTGTTAATGTTAGTACTTATTTATTTAGCCTCTCAGTGCCTAATAATACTTCTCTTCATCTTTAGTTGTTCATTAGTTTTTGTGAAGTTAGATTCCTGCAAGTGGTCAATTACTATACACTGTTAGAGCTCCATTCCACAATTCTAAGCTAAAGCAAATTAAAATATAACTTAAAAATCGTACACTGAAGTATTATCCCTTTCCTATTTTCAAGGTTGTTAACCTAACCATTTTCTACCAAAAAAAAAAAACCAAAACACGAAACTTTTGATATCTCAATGTGAATCTAAGTCCTGTGTGTACAAGAGATATGATAAATACTGTCTCCTAGTTCAACCTAAACATATCTCCGTTGGCTTTTCTAAATATAAAGTTTATTGTGGAATTGTAAAAAGACCCCCAAAAACATAAGTAATCTTATAATGACTGATATTTTCATTTTTGCTGGACTAAGAATAATTTATTTTAATTTCATAAGTGTTTCTCAAGCTTCCAAAATTAAAGAAAAAAGTTCCCTGGACACTTTGTTAACAAGTTACAAACCTCCACTTTAATAATTATATAGGTACTTGTTTTTTACATTACACAAAGCCTTCTGTACCATTTTGTAATTCCTTTGTAATATAAAATGAGAATACTATCAGTTTGATTTTCTGCTGTAAATTGCCTTCAAATAAGCATTTTATACTGCATTCCAAAGTGATAGATCGAGACAGTCAGTTGGTAGACAAACTTGCAATGCTTTATGCTAGGAGAGTTTTGTTATTGGCAGCAACTTGCACTACTTTATACAAGAGGCGAATACTAGTAATTGTTATGCACAGAGGAAAATGGTAAAACAGCTTTATCCTTATTTCAGAGTTGATTTGCTGTGAGTTTTCTTTAGTCCATTAGATTTTGCACCGTCCTTTGACTGGAAACGTAGTTACATACTGCAGTCTGTTTTCCTGCCTTTTTTTTTTTTTCACCCCTCATGCCGCCTAAGTGATTAGTGTTATGCTTGGGGGTTGATGTCTTTGGGTAGAAAAGCATATCAATTATTTTAAATGAATTGTCCCCCCATCTTTGAAGCTTATTCTGTAAGATGGTACTATAGAAAAAAATACTTGGGTTGGCCTTACTTGAAGTTTTGAAAACTGAAATTAGTAAGATATAGCACATAATAAATTAGATTTTTGCACTAAAAGTTTTATTTCTGGAACATAAATTTGAAATGGACAGAAAATTTCAACTATTTCAATGGAAAAAATAACAATAGTGCTTATAGAGAATACCTATTTGTGTTGGGCATCCAAAATTAAAGTTTTTCATAGGTTTTTGTCCTAAAATCTGCTTTCTTTTTCCCTATGCACTACTTATGCTACTGATGTTATCAATTAACAAGCAACAAGTTAAAATAAAATGTGTTCATTATGAATCCTGTAGCATTTTTTGTTATAAAAAAAACCATTGTGTGAAATACTCTTCATGTAGACATATTTTTGTTTACATCTTATCCACTAATGGAATAAATACCCATTAATCATTTTAACAAAACACAAAATATTTACACAAAAAGATTGCATACTGTATTTAAACTAGTTAGTGATGAATAAGAAAAAGTGGCTGATTTAAATAGTTACATTAGATAAATTTTAAAACTCTAACAAAGGAACTTGCAAAGCTGGGCGAAGATCTGTCTGATGATACCCCTGTGAACCAGCTCTTGTGACCCGGCAGAGCGCCCCACCCAGCAGTGGGGAGGTGGGAGGACCCAGCTGCCGGGCTCTGGTGTGCTGCTACTTCAGTTTGGGTGGTGACACACTGACATTTTCACTGTCCCATAATCTGAGGACATTTCCTGTCATTTGTACTGAAGTAACTATAAATTGATGGAATTTGCAAAGAAGAACCCTTTTAACTGTATTGTATTTAGAGCCTTTGTACAGCTGGCTGAAATTTCCATTATAATGAAGTATTTGAATTTTAAAATATACTATTATAAGGAAGAAGACATGGCATTATTCCATGTTTTTAAATTCTAATTTTTCAGTTTCAGAAGAAAACAGTAATTGTCATTGCATTAGTTGTATGTTAAATTGGGGAATGGGCATAAAGCTTCAGTTTGTGTTTATCAGATGTGAACCTTAGTAGTATAATGCTGCTTTGTATATACTGTAAGGTGCTGCAGACAGTCTCAGCACTGAACATGCATCGATACCTCTCACGTGAGTGCAACTTCGGACGCAGGCGTTCTGACATGCCTCAGAACGTGTCTGAGCGTCTGAGAACTTGCTCATCTGTTTGGAAATGAAGATACTTCCTGGTTTTTGTTGCATATTTTCATATTTAAATTTTAATTTTTACTGCTGTTAATTTAAGTAAAATTTGTTCTGTGGATAAAATGGGGTTGCCAGTGAAGAAAATGAAAAACAGCCTCATTCATATACCTGCTTAAGTAAAAATATGTTTTTCCTCTATGTTCATAAACTTTTAGTGAAGCTGTTTGTATTTCTGTTTAAATATAACTGATGTTTGGCTCTATTTCTGTTGAGTAAGGCCTTTTACCATTGATTTAAATGAAGGAATGTATCTTGAAGAGATTTATATTCTGTAAATAAATTGGTTGTAACATTAAAGTTGAATTCTAGTTGTATCCATAAATCTTGTCACTTCAACTCATTTTTGTGGTTCTTTTGTGGAAAAACAAGACTTTTTAAAGTTAGTGTATAACTATATATTTGAAATGATCGTTTAGTTTCTAACTCTCTGATTTGATAATATTGTGTCTAAGGGTTTTGGAAGTTAGAGAATCATTTTTTTACCACATACTTCTGCATAATTTGTTTTTTACTTAGTTGAGTCTCAATTTAGAGAGGTATGTAGGTACTTTGGTAACTGCTACTGATTTCCAGAGTTTAGTGTTCCTAGAATCGAGCATTGCAGTGGCTTTTCAGGCTCTCTCTACCCAGTGTATGTTTTTGAATATATGTTCCTAACATTGAAACAGCGGTAAAAAAGTTTTCATCTCTAGATGAGTTTCAGTCAAAATCTGTAATTGTTTTTCTCATAATATTGTATAAATGTCAATAAAACCCAAGCCAAGCATCGCTGACTTACACCAGAAATTAACACTTAAAGTAGCCATCATTAATATTGTTCAGGAAACAGCATTTATCTAAAAATTTGTCAGTTCCATTGGATTAGCAGCTTTGTCCCCTTGACCAAACCACAATATCCCAAAGGAAAAATCAGTCTAAAACTACTCTTTGACATAACAGGGGTTTTTTCTATATTATTTTAATTTAACACAAGATCATGAGTCAAGCATTCTGAGTTCTGTACTGCAATTTCTCTAGTTGGTCTCAACTATATTGTGAATTTAATGGTTGAAACTGCCCTGGCTGGTATGTCTCACTGGGTTGAGGCTAGCCTGCTGACTGAAAGGTCACCAATTCGATTCCCAGTCAGGGCACACGCCTGTGTTGTGGGACAGGTCCCCGGGTGGGGGCGTGCCAGAGGCAACCAGATGTAGCTCTTGAACACTGATGTTTCTCCCTCCCTTCCCCTTTCTCTAAAAAAGTTTAAATAGTTGAAACTTAGAGTTTCTTATGAAGACTGTATATTTAGTAATTAGCTGGTAAAGGATTGTCATTTTAATCCTACCATATTTTAAAAATCTCAGACTGTTCTCTTTGCTCAGTTTTGTAACACTTGGAAAAATTTTTAAATTTTATTGTACTTCTTGCAGTTTTTTTCCTTTTTCACACGTAAGCAGAAGGCTGTGTAGGTGCCTTGTAAAAGGCTGTCTTGGTGACATCCCTACTAACAAGAACCTAAAGAGATCCTGCTAAAAATGATTTCTGAGCTCCAACTTTGAAATATTCTAAAAAGAAAAAAATAAGAAAGAAATGTAACCACTTGACCACATTTGCCAGTGAGTGTTCTTCCTTGGTAGAAGAGCAGAGTCTTTGGTTTTAATGTCACCTGATGTATTGACATCATTAGCTCCTTTACCTGTTGCAGTAAAATGAAAACTAAGGGGGGAGCAGGTAGTGCCAGTAGCATTAGTCTTTGTAAAGGTCACGTGGAGTCTGGTTTCTGCACTTTTTTCTTGTCAGCTCAGAATATCTCTTTGGAGACTCCAAAAACTAGAGGGAAAGTGTTCCGGTGATGACTGTGGGTTCTGTGGGTTTTTTCTCATTGGTACATTGATCAGAATAAATAAGATTACCTCTGTCGTTTCCTCTAGTTTTATAAAATCCTAGATTACAGTAACCAAAATACTATTGAACAGATTTCATGTAAAAATTGGGACTCTGGTATTATTCTGTTTCTGGCAGATCACTTCCTTGCGTTCCTTGCTTAAAATTCCGACTCACGCAGAAGATACGAGCTGACAAATCCATATCTGAACATGACCTTGTCTTTGGAGATCTCAGGATTTGAGTTCTACTTCCTTTCTCTGAAATGTTGTGTGGTTTCTCCCTGATGGGGGCCATTTTCCACCTAGGTTTTGGGTAGTGGTGTGGACTGAGGATGTTCCAAATTTATTGTATTGTAGAACTAACCTCCAGGGTGGCTGTATTTGGAGATGGGACCTCTAAGGAAGTAACTACAGTTAAATGAATTCATAGGGGTGGGGTCCCGATTCCATACAATTAGTGTCCTTATAAAAAAACATGTTAAAGAGCTCTTTCTTTGAACACTGGGTGAAGGCCCTGTGATTGCACAGCATTTACAATCCAGAAAGAGAACTCTAATCAGAAACCAAATTAGCTGACGCCTTAATCATGGACTTCTAAGCCTCTAGAACTGTGAGGAAATACATTTCTATGTAAGCAACAAGTTCGTGGGTTTTGATAGGGTAGACTGAGCCCACTAATGGAGCTAGAAGGACTGTGGACTTTTAGGACTTTTATAATTACATCAGGGAGTTGTGTAGGGGGTTGGGTTTAAGGAAGGCAGGTGTATAACTATTAAGTTTCACTTTTTCTTTTCTTACTTAACTCAGATGAGAAAAGCCTCCGTCCTAAGGATGCCATCCAGCCACAGTTGCCAAAGCAGAGGCTTCTCGTTCTTTCATTAATTCATGTGTCTGGGCTTAGAGCACAGTGGATACATTCTGTCTCCCATGCTGTTTCCAACAAACGCCCTTTGTGAAGGTCATGAAACGTGCTGTGCCACACCCAGCTTGTCCATACTGTCATCTCCTGTTTGGTTATGCCTCCTTAGCTCATGAAGGGCATCAGTATTTGTCAGTATTCTCTGTCACCTCTGCTACCACCATTAATTAACTGAGCTGTACCTAAGTATGTCCCTTGCAGCAACTCAGGCTGGAAGTTCTTCGGTCTCTTCAAATTTAGTGTTGATTTTGTATCAACATCTTATCGGCAAGGTCATGGTGAATGCCTACTTCATCATCTGAAGTGAACTACAGAAATGTAAAACTTTATTAATCATCTTTGACATCACTACTTGTTAATCCAAATTAAAAAAAAAAATTCCTTCCACCATAACTTTTACTTCATTAAAACGCCCAGAACTTTCCCTGGCTGGTGTGGCTCACTTGGTTGGGGCATCATCCCATGCGCCAAAAAGTTGGTTCGATCCCCAGCCAGGGTACATGCCTGGGTTGCAGTTCAGTCCCTGGTCGGGATATGTGCAGGAGACAACTGGTAGATGTTTCTCTCTCTCAAAATCAAAACTAAAAAAAAGCCTCCAGAACTGTAATTTTTTTTCTGTTCAAGCATCCTTCTTCTGGCCTATCATTGCTATCCAGCCTCGACTCCAGTGTGTCACCTTATACCTTCCTGCCAGTATCCTCAACTACCGGCATCCACTTTCCTCCCACCACTGTCCAGCCAGTCCTCAGGCCTGAATATATCCAGCCATGTGCCTCATTCACGCACGACCCCAGACTGGCCCTGCTGAGTGACTATTGCTAGTTGATGCTCCTATAGTTCCAAAGCCACCAGTGAAGGCTGGCCTTCAAGAGAAGTTGACTTCTGCAGAAGAGGGCTGAGTTAACCATACTCACCTAATAAGCTCTGTTATCGTTATTGGTCCTAGCAAAGCCCTGCCTGTGAGTTTGCTCATTAATTGGTCAACCCCCTTTTTATATCTTCCACTCCTACTCACAAGCAACCATTTTTATCATATACTTTATTAGAATCTAATTTTACAATATGTATGTTTTTGTGGCCTTTTGTTTTTAGTTCACACAGCTGATACTATGTTACTGATTTCATTCTTGTTCTCACTTTTTTCTCCAAGTGCTGTATTTTAACATTAATTCGTGTAGTTATATGAATATCTACCTCTAAGGTACGGTTTCTGTCAGCTGCATATTTTATAGTGTGCATCCGACACTTTTCATCTGACCTTTTCGCCCAATGATGGACACCCAGGCTGCCTCCAACTTTGCTACCACCGCCAATATTACGACAATGAACTTGCTCATTATATCTCTACTAATGGACCTGAGAATAATTTCACTGGGATTTAGTCAAGGAAAAGAAATTGCTGGGTCATTTATTTATTTTGACTGAGTTGTGCCAGATTTCTCCCTGGATTGTTCTAATGTTCTTTTTATCAATGAATAATGTTTCTATTATATGTCTATTATATTTCTATTCCCTCAGTTATAAGGAATATATATATCAGATATTACATCTGCTACTGTAGGTTTTCTAACTTTGTTTTGGTTCACATTGGCCTGGTGTATCTTTTCCCCACTGTTTACGTTTGACCTTGTGTCTCTTTGCTCTAAGTGGCTATTGGAGACAACATTTTATATCTTTAAATTCAGTATGAGTGTTTCTGTCCTTTAATTGGTGAGTTGAAATACTTACTTTCAGTGCAATTATATTAAAACCAGTTTGATCTCCATATCATATTGTACTCTCTTCCCTTTTACTCTCTATTTTCTATTGACATAAAACATATCATTGCTGGGTTAGAAGTTATACATATTTTTATTATCTTGGTTGACCTTATTTTACAAGCCATTCTCATATATTTATCAATGTTCATTGATATGAACATATATATTTATAAATGTTCATTTATCAATGAACTTAGCAATGTTGTCCATCTATCCATGTCTATGGCAGATTCGGAAACGTGCTGCTCAGATCTCCAAGAAGGAACTTGCTTTGTGCGGAGTGTGATTAGCTGCTCAGCTGTTAACTGCTTGCTCTGCCTCATCATTCAAACTGACACCACACTCTTTTCAGGGTGCTCCCCATCCAGTCGTGCAAAGACCTAACCATTTCTGCCCCATTTGAGAGTCCCTGGTCGGGGTGGGGAGTTCTTGTCTTGGAGCTCCGCATTGATCTGGCAGAGACTTGTCAGGTCAGCCTCATGGTCTGGAATTTCCCCCTGAAAAATAGTACTTCCTCACCTTTTCTTTTACGGCCTTTTATATTTCAAACTCTTATCTTGGCACCTGTTTCCTGGAAAACCCGATGTGCAACAATTGATGACAAAATTGGTCCAAGAAAGCAGCAGTGGTACAGGAACATCCGATTTGGAGCTGGTTCACTCACCACTCTGGTGGCTGGTGCACAGGCAGATGCTGGCATCACAGGGCTGACTAACTGATAAGACTGTCACTGCTGGTGAACCGGGATAATGA